AAAAAAAAAAAAAAAGGAGGGAAAAAAAGTAATTACAGCAATAAAATAAGAACGATTTTGCTGATTGCAGTGAAGACAGGCCCAGGCGGAACATTCAGCACGGTTCTGCGGACAAGGGGTGCTTCCTTGGCCCCTGGCTGCCCATTGGGGTCTTCCCCATGGGGCCAGGCCAGGGGCCACCATGGCCACTGCCACACAGTGCCAATACGCGCGGTTGGCGACCCCGGAGCGGCTCGGAGCGGGGATCCAGCTCCGGGGCCTCCCGGCGAGGAGGGACACGGGAAAACTCCAGAACCCACCCAGAAAGGACTCTAAATTCGGGGTCATTTCTCTGTTTTGTGAGAAAAGGACATACAGGCTTGTAACAGCAACAACAAAACCAGCATTCACAGCGATTTCTGTGACCTTTGAGCTGTGTCGCTCTTTGCCCTCGGGTTCTCCTTTATTGTAATGTTTATTATCATTAAGGATGATCAGGGGCCTGGAACATCTGCCCTGTGAGGAGAGGCTGAGGGAGCTGGGCCTGTTCAGCTGGAGAAGAGAAGGCTGAGAGGGGACCTGAGCAGTGTCTAGAAGTACCTCAAGGGAGGCAGTGAGGAGGATGGGGCTGATCTCTTTTCAGTGATGGCCACCGACAGAGCTAGAGGTAATGGCCACAAACTGAAGCACCAAAAGTTCCACAAAATTTTTTTTAATGGTGAGGGTGCCAGAGCACTGGAACAGGCTGCCCAGAGAGGTTGTGGAGTCTCCTTCTCTGGAGATCTTCAAACCCGCTTGGACGCAGCCCTGTGCCACGTGCTCTAGGTGACCCTGCGTGTGCAGGGGTTGGACTGGGTGATCCCTAGGGGTCCCTTCCAACCTTGAGCATTCCATGATTCTATGATTATTAGTAGTATTCACCGTGGTGTTTGGACACCGGGGACAGCGAAGCAGCCCGTGGCTGGAGGGGACGCCGCGCAGGTCCCTTCCCTGGACACGGTGTCCAGGGCCTCTCTTGCTGCCGGCCTCTCTTCCAACCCCGCCGTTGCACAGCTCCGGCTACGCCGCCAGTGCAGACGCTGGTCTTGGGCTCACATCTTCGCTGCATGGAGACGTCTCGGTCCCAACATGGACAGGAGCCTATGCTGCCCTTGTCCCATCTCCAGGTGCCTCCAGAAGCTGTGAGATGGGGTCTCACGGGGTATCATCTAGTCTGTAAGGATTAAATGCAGATGGAGGCATCCAGCCCTCCACCTCCAGGTGTTTGGTGCATCATGATGCCCCGTGATGGATTCTGAGAAAACTCATTTCCCAAAACTGATGACAGTCAGTTCCCCACTTAACTTTGGGTCATCTGTGTGGCTGTACCCAAAGCAAGACCTTCAGAGTTTTCCAAGTTAAACATACCTCTTCCCTTCCACCCCTCTCTAGGCAGATCAGTTCCTTGACCTAGAAACACCTGCAGAAACATCAGCCAGTGAAGACACCACTTGACTTTGGCTGTTTCTGCCCCGAGCTCTAGGACGTGGCAGAGTCCCAGGACCACGAATGTGGTCTGGTAGATGGTGTGAGACAGAGGCAACCGCAGTCACCGAGTGACTTGTCTCCTTCTTTCCTTGGTTTCCTCCCGTGTGGTGGTTCCTTTTCCCCTGCAAAGCCAGGCGTTTACGGCCTTTCCAAGCTGCCAGAAGACGGGGCAATTCAGCACCCTGTCCCATCCTACACAAGCGTCTGCGGTTCAAAGTGGTTGTTTCTGCTGGGTCCAGGTGAGGAACCTGCCCTGGCTCCGCTCTCCCTTCCCTGCTGCGGTGGCAGAGGACGGTCATGGATGAAGGGAAACTTCCTGCTCCAGGAAGCCTGCTGTGATCAGAGGTTAGAAACGGGCTCCAGGTGCAGCGCTACGGAAATGGCCAAAGGGCATCAACCACCACGAAAAATGAATGCCTATGATATAGAGGGACGCGCAGAAGCTGGTGTGCAGCAGGGGCCTGCGGGTTAGAGACCTTGTCCTCGGGTTTCCTGGTGGAAAAGAGGTGGAAGCTCCTTGATGGCTGGTGCAAATTCGGTCTCTCTTTGGGGTTAGGTCGAGCTCTCTTCCAGCAGATGCTGCTATTGCTGACGCTGTGAAAGGGGTCAACCAAAATCCAGCTCTGCTCTTCGTGCTCCTTCCTCAGCTGGCCGGTCCTCCCATCCCAAGGACACTCGCTGCTCCAGGGGGGTTAGGGACACAGTAAAGGCTGTTTTGGTGGCCGCAGCCATCGCGTTGACTTGCAAAGGGCGATG